TGGCAAAAACACATACACACACATACAGCACTCTGCATTCTACACTATCCTTGGCTGATCCACAACACTGTTCCAACTCTGCCCCCCTGCTGTGACAGTGGGAAGCCAAGCCAGAGGCCTGGGTTCCAGCTCAGCCCTCTTGCTGTGACAGTGGGAAGCCAAGCCAGAGGCCTGGGTTCCAACTGGAGGTTTCACTCATCAGCACTATTACATTATCGGAGGCGGTGACCCATTAACAGAGCACGATATTGATTGAGTGCCTACTCAATACGGAAGACACTGCTCATGCAAATAGAGGAGCCATTTTGAAAATCTGGACAACCTGCAGAACTGAGATTTAGGTAGAGTACGTTGACAATGTGGCACTTTGCCTCAGGACAGGCGTAAGTCTATATACAGCTCCAGCTGGGGTCTTCATAACTTTCCAGGGGCCACGTTCATGAGCCCACGGAGTGTATGAAAATGTTATGAGGTCATTGAATGATTAATACAGCTTTGTACAGGATTTTCACAGCTGTTGAGAGGGCAGCTAAAAGAATAGGTATTTTAGTGAATCCACATAAGGAAACTGACTAGACTTTTGAAACATATAGCTACTAGCAACTCTCTATTACCACTGGTCTGGCTGCTAGTACCAACCAAATATGTATAGCAGTGAATTGTATTATAGAGATGTTTTCGAGCATGTATTGCATTATTTTTACAGCACTACACTGGAAGCAGCTGTGGCTGAAGAGCCCAAGGCATTTTCCTTGGTTATGGAATTCCGATACCCCTTTATAACCATTATTATCTGCTAATTCAAGTAGACAGACCTTACTCAGTGGAGCAGTGCTGCTTGTGCTGCAGCTGTGATCTAATTACATAATTTTCCTCAAATACATATTCCAACAACTAAATCATAGTCCCCCTGTGCCCCAGACAGTTGGACTCATCCAGCTTTTGAGGATATCATGTGTGCATGTAAGATGTCCCATTTGGGTTGTTAACATCAAAACGTTTGCATTTTCCACTGGAAATTGGCTATTTTGCTGTGCACATAGCCTACATGGCAGGTATCCAGGAGAGTTCTGGACAGCTTTGGGGACTTTAGTATATCCCTGACCCATAATCTTTGGGCCTCAGCTCGGAATCTAATCTCTTGGGTATTCGGAGATGGGTTCCTGTCTCCTCCTGATGAGAGAACCAGAAAAAAATTCTCCCCAAAGAGAAATCATCTCGGGGTCCAGGACAATAAAGTCTGATTTTTCATTGCTCTTTCTATAAGGTCCAAGTCCATGGAGACGATCAAAACATATGTTTCAAAAATAAACATTAACTTGGGAGAAGAGAAGATATTAATTTGCAAGCAACATTACCATTTTCATGATTGCTTCTTATTATAGACAATCATAAGGCTGAATAACCCCTTTCAATGGACATCCAACACCATCATCCCTTAAAGACACATGTTTTCATGAATTACCTGAACAGCATACCGGTATGGAGATTCTTAGATTGTTATATGAATTCTTATGGTATTTTATCATAAAGTCTTTTACATTGCCACCAGGGTCAAGAGACAGTGGTGTTGAGTTCACGATTGACTATATTTGATCAAATATATGATGAAATCATATCAAATGTAGGAAGTGATTGATCAAGATTAATTTTATTTAATATTTATTATTATCCTTTTTAAAGATGATAGGCCATGCAACTTAAATAAATGGCTATGGAATGAACACTGACAGCAGTTTTGAGAAGTATTGAGAGTGTTATTAATATGTTGTTATGCATTTGTTTCATTCATTTATTCGATGATATGATTCCATTTCAGACAGAGGCAACACAAAAACAATAGCTATTAAATCATTAAGAAATAATATATTTGAATAATCTAGAAAACTATCCAATAGACTACTAATAGCCTATAAAATAAAACACTATAGAATACTCACCCAAAATTCCAACCACTAAAAGTTTAAACACAGCCAACGCAATTGTATCCATCACCTTGAGAATAACAATCCCACACACGATTCGGATTATTTCAATGAAATCTCAACTGGGTGATAAATGTTTGTGGCAAACCATAATTATCCAAATTCACTGAAAGCACGCGCGCAACTTCTTTCATAGTTCATGAGTCAAATTTAGAACTCCGCAATACCTCCTCAAATCTGGCCCCTCCGATCAAACCTCCACATGAGATGCGCGTCCTCGGTGCGCTTGCCTCACCGTCCTTGTGCAAGCTTGCCTGCACATCTCGTTGCTAAAATGACTTCTGCGCTCTCGCATCCTTTCAGAGGGAGGGAGGGAGAAAGGAGGGGAGATAGATCGTCCTCTTCCTCTCCCTTCCTATCTCATTCAATATGCAGGAAACCATTATGAAATAGACAATTTAATATGAATGATAACGATTTTATTGTATGACTTGTGCATATTAAAGGTTCAATGCAGCCGTTTTTATCAAAATATCAAATCATTTCTGGGTAACAATGAAGTACCTTACTGTGAAAATATCAAATAATTTCTGGGTAACAATGAAGTACCTTACTGTGATTGTTTTCTATTAAAATTGTCAAAAATAAACAAAAATAGCATCTTAGCAAAGAGCAATTTCTCAAGCAGTCAGGGAGTAGGAAGGGGAAGACTGAAAACTAGCTGTTATTGGCAGAGAGGTTTGGACTGCTCTTTCTTATTGGTCTATTAACTAATTTACTGCCTGGTGAGGTCACCAGCAGGCCAATACTTCATCCCACCAATAAAGGCTGAAATTTCAGGCATTCTTTTCAAACAGCTCTTACACCGGCTCCGACGCTCGTCGGATGTGGCAGAGCTTGCAAACTATTACAGACTACAAAGGGAAGCACAGCCGCGAGATGCCCAGTGAAACGGGCCTACCAGACGAGCTAAATTACTTCTATGCTCGCTTCGAGGCAAGTAACACTGAAACATGCATGAGAGCATCAGCTGTTCCGGACGACTGTGTGATCACGCTCTCCGTAGCCGATGTGAGTAAGACCTTTAAACAGATCAACATTCACAAGGCCGCAGGGCCAGACGGATTACCAGGACGTGTACTCTGAGCATGCGCTGACCAACTGGTAAATGTCTTCACTGACATTTTCAACCTCTCCCTGTCTAAGTCTGTAATACCAAAATGTTTCAAGCAGACCACCATAGTGCCTGTGCCCAAGAACACTAAGGTAACCTGCCTAAATGACTACAGACCCGTAGCACACACATCTGTAGCCATGAAGTGCTTTGAAAGGCTGGTTATGGCTCAAATCAACACCATTATCCCATTATCCCAGAAACCCTAGACCCACTTCAATTTGCATACCGCTCCAACAGATCCACAGATGATGCAATCTCTATTGCGCTCCACACTGCCCTTTCACACCTGGACAAAAGGAACACCTATGTAAGAATGCTATTCATTGACTACAGCTCAGCATTCAACACCATAGTGCCCTCAAAGCTCTTCACTAAGCTAAGGACCCTGGGACTAAACACCTCCCTCTGCAACTGGATCCTGGACTTCCTGACGGGCCGCCTCCAGGTGGTAAGGGTAGGTAACAACACATCCGCCACGCTGATCCTCAACAAGGGGGCCCCTCAGGGGTGCGTGCTCAGTCCCCTCCTGTACTCCCTGTTCACTCATGACTGCATGGCCAGGCACGACTTCAACACCATCATTAAGTTTGCAGATGACACAACAGTAGTAGGCCTGAACACTTTTACGCTGCTGCTACTCTCTGTTTATTGTCTATGCATAGTCACTTTAATAACTCTACCTATATGTACATATTACTTAAATTACCTCGACTAACCGGTGCCCCCGCACATTGACTCTGTACCGGTACACCCTGTATATAGCCTCACTACTGTTATTTTACTGCTGCTCTTTAATTATTTGCTACTTTTATTTCTTATTATTTTTAAATTTAATGTTTTGTTGGTATTTTTTGGGGGTGGGGGGGTATTCTTTCTTAAAATTGCATTGTTGGTTAAGGGCTTGTAAGTAAGCATTTCACTGTAAGGTCTACACCTGTTGTATTCGGCACATTTGATTTTATTTGATATTATCATACTTTTCAAATTTATTTTCTCAGTATTATTCCAACCTCATAGTGTAGAAATATATATAAAATACAGGAAAATCACGTTTTTGACTGCACTGGTCCTTAACATGTCTACCAGACCATTAGTTTAGCTGTCTACTTTATAGCGTTTGTATTAAACAATCTAAATAACCTTGTTTACATTTTTTAATAGCTTTCAAGAATAAGCAACTGTAAAATGTTATAAATGTGTTATAGATTATTGCATTTTATGTTGGATTATTAATTCTTATGCAATATTTTTGAATGGTTTAATATTCCATGTCCATAAATTGTAACATATAATTGCTTGTTTATTAATAGGCCTATTATGTAGATCTACTCTAGGCTATAAATAGGCCTAGATTTTTCATGAAAGTTATTATAAAGTGTTACCACCTACCTAAAACATGACAGAGGAAAAGTAGCCTAGTGGAAAATAAAATTACCAACAGAACCTATTTGTTTGCAAGCCACAAGTATGACTGATACAAACATAACAAGTTGATGATGCTGTTTGTGATTACCAACATTTTGTTTAATCTAGGCCATTTTCTACATTATTATCCAAACATTTTAACCTGTCAAATGCTGCAATTCAAAGAAATACGTGCAAAATAAAATCCATATTGGGAATATCAAAAAAAGTATCAAATTGTATAAAGTTTAGATATTCCTTTTCATGCCGATGCAGATGCTTTATTTGACTCATGGCTTCATTTCAGGAAGAAAAGCAACCCGAGCGCCATCTTGAGGATTTACTGAGAATGTCAGTGCAGCAAATTCATAGCTGAACTAAAAGGGCAAAATACTTGTTTCTCAGGGGAAGTATAACGGAGACGAACCATCGGCTTGGCGGGCCAAATTGAACGTCGCAACAAAATAGTTATGTCAGTTAGAATAATATTGAATATGAAGTTCCGAGCAAAAATGATTGATGTTGGTTGCCTTAATCATTTCACACGTAAGTAATTTGTAATGTTGCTCTTGTGTGTTGTTGTTTTTGTATAGCCAGCTACCTGAGTAGCTAGGTAGTTAAACGGATAATCCACCCCCATAAATATGGTTCGGTTCGGCACCGAGGTAAAGTTGGTTTTATATTAGATATTCGGTTTTCTCTCATCAATAGTAAAACAAAAAATATATATATATTCTGAATCAGGGGAGGATGGAGAACAACCTACACCTTTTTTTGGGTGAATTTTTTTCAATCTTCAATTTGTTTTTAAATTTAGCGTGGATTGTTCTCCATCCTCACCTGATTAAGAATATACATATTTTTGTTGCTATTGATGAGAGAAAAAACGAATATTCTATATAAAACTAATTTTACCTCAGAACCTAACCATATACATACAGGCTCTATAAAAAGTCGGGAAACAATACTTTCCTGTGGATATCATTAATTTTCTCTTGCGAGTGGAACATGCAACACTTGCTAGCATTCTACCTTTAATTTCTCTGCATCAGGTGTGGCGAATACCATCTCTAAACTAATGAAGACTTGCATCCTGCGACTCCAGACAACCTATATTTTGCATTGTCTGGTAAGGTGGCCAGTGGAGGAGTCAGCATGTGGTGTGAGTTCTCAGGTACATGCCCATACAAGACACGATGTTTTTACCAATGATTTGCACTCAGATATCTAACATAATTATTTTGTCATATGCACAGGATACACAGTACAATTAAATGCTTAATTGCAGGTTCCCTCTCGATAATGCAACAACAATAAGACATACAAAAATATAGCTCAATGGAATATAATTTAATACAAATGTAGCATAAGTATAAATACAGGAAGGCACTCAACAAATGTACAGTACAATATTTACACGTGTGTTGGGGAAGGGGGATATGGAGAGCAAAGTGTTTAAATTGTGCAGTATTTAGCGATACTCTCAGTTGTTAGGGGAACCAAAGCCTGTCTGTCACAAATAACCCAACTAAATGAAAAGGTTCAATCAAGCGTTTCCATTGTTCACTTTCTTTTGGTAAGTGGTTGAAGTTTCTGCTCTGTACTTATTCAACAAAGACATTCTCTATTTGTATTGTATTTGATCAGGCCAACTTATTTCAGTATCAGCCGGAAGGTGTGGCGCCCGATGCTAATGAGATCTGCCTAGAGGTGACTCCCGAGAACCTGTCCAGGGCTTTGATAACCTCTCAGAATGCCAAGTGTACGAAAATCAAGCTGACCAAGAAGCACTGTGTTTGTCTCACTCTCGCTGCAGAACTGGTAAGGGCTACAGCAATTACATCCAATGTATCTGCTTCAAAGGGAAACTGTCAACACTCACTGGGCTGTGTTGATTTGATGTGGAATTCTGTTGACTATATTATACATGTTCAAAAGTGACTACTTTGACATGTTGTCAGGCAAATATAGCAGTCAGTATATAGCACTTTTCTAACAAAAAGGCCTACATTTAACACAAAGAAAATGAAACTATGTCTAAACCCCCCAAAAAGCAAGCCATGACATTAGTGGCAAAGATAAAACTCCAGGTAGGAAATAACCTTCAGGAACCAAAATTCATAGACGCAACTTGTTCTCCTCTGGCTGGCTGGCTGTCTGGCTGGCTGGCTGGCTGGCTAGAAGTCTGAATACGTCAGCAAGGCCAAACAGTTGTCCTTTAAGACGAAGAAGTTTAACAATGTTATATTTCTCTTCTCAACTTTCCCCTGCCCTCTTATTCTCCCCCATTAGCTGACACTTTCCAGCGTCAGTCGAGATGTCACACATGACATCCCGGTGGACGTGATACCCAGAAGGCTTTGACACGACTTCAAAGAACCCAGCATGCCAGACCTTGACGTGAGTACCAGTGCCACTCTAGCCTGGATACCAGTTTCTTTCTGCCGTAGTCAACTTTAAAGCACAAGTTCTCCGAAGTAATGCTAGTTTAACACATCCGGCGTACTGTTATTTTTTGTTGTTGTAATGGTACCTACTTATATACTAATTATTGAGCATATATTTGCCTCCACTGAAGACTATGAAAAATGTTGTGGATCGAATGAAGAATATCTTAACTTATATATATTAATATAATAACTTTCTGGTAAGAGACCGTTTACCATGAGCTCAGATAATTGTACACGTGCCGTCAATGTACTTAGAACTTGCATTATTATAATATCTTCAGTGTAGGTTTAATCATACGAAATAAAGTGTTTGGAAATCACAGGTATGTCACAATCTCTTTAACCCCTTCATAGTAACGTACAATAGAGCTATTTGTAGATTGGGTTATCAGCTGTCTGTACAAAGTCACTTGTCCTCCACTAACTGTAAGTCGCTCTGGATAAGAGCGTCAACTAAATGACGTAAATGTATGTCCTAGGTGATGGAGGCCAACCTGAATGGAGAGATGAACCTGAAGATTGAAACTGACTTGGTGTCTGTCACATTTACGTCATTTAGCAGACGCTCTTATCCAGAGCGACTTACAGTTAGTGAATACATAAAAAAAATTCATACTGGCCCCCCGTGGGAATCGAACCCACAACCCTGGCGTTGCAAACGCCATGCTCTACCAACTGAGCTACCTCCCTGCCGGCCATTCCCTCCCCTAGACGACGCTGGGCCAATTGTGCGCCGCCCCATTGGTCTCCCGGTTGCGGCCGGCTACGACAGAGCCTGCATCCACCACTTCAAAGACCTCAGAAACCCTCCCTGGGGTAGGTGCATCCCCTTCACTTGGGTTGTGTTCGTTAAGGCACACCGTAGCAAAACCTTTTTGAAAAAGCGCATGTTAGCCATGGCAACAAACTGGAACCTGTCTCAGGGCTTTTACTCATTTCAGTCTCATCTCTCTTGGCCCCCCTCAGGTGACGATGGTTCCCAGGGGCCCTGAGGTCATGGCCCACACCTGCGTGGACATCTGCAAGCTGCAGCAGTTCCTCATGGGCCAGCAGGTCAACCCCAGCAAGGCCATGTGCAGTGAGTCAACTCTCATAGACTTCCTACTACTATTAACAATGTTGACCAATCAATCAGCTCCTCTAATTTCAACGTCGCCAACCCTGGTCCCAGAGACACACAAGGTGTTGCGGGCTTTTGTTCCAGCCCAGCCCTAAAATAACTGATTTGCCGCAAAAGGCCTGCATGCCATGTATCTCTCTAGTACCAGGGTTGGTGAAGACTGGATTATACCATCTGATGACAGACAGAGAGCCTTTACTGTACCAGTGAGTTATGGTGACCTCATCTTCTGTGATGCTTTATCAGATGCATCACTATATTATGAGCTGTGATGTGGACATGAATTGAGTTGTGTGACATTGAATGGTTGGACTAGTGTCATAAGAAAGATCCAATGTAAACTCCATGATTGTAGATCACTGATGAGCATTTTATTATCCCCACCAGACATTGTCCACCAAAGGATCATTCATTTGATTCTACTGCACGAAGACGTGTCCCTCGAGTACTTCATCCCAGCGGTGGCGTAAACAGGACCAATGTTGTATATCACAAAAGTCAGCCGAGAAGGTGGAGTTTGTTTTCTGTGTGGCCAACCCTCCTGCTGGAGAGCTACTGGGTAGGTATGCTTTTGATCCAACCCCCCCATCGTTACACACCTCATTCAGCTAATCAAGGTTCTACTGAGCAGTAGAATCAGGTTTGCTAGTTAAGGGTTGGGGAGAAAGCTTGCAGGAGGGTAGCTCTTCAGAAGGAGAGATGGGCAAGACTACACGTTCCATTCATCTGAGAAGTTCTGGTTTATTAAGATTACATGAAAATGTGTGAAAAGCTCATAAATAAACACCGCCGTCATGCACTTTCTAAAAAATCACCTTGTGATTACTTTTGTAAGTGGTAGCTCATGAATTACATCTTTAAAGATTACCATGTGTGCTCTTAGACCTGGAACAGTTTCTATATTATAGTTTAGTCTCTTATTTAATATGCTTACAAACCTCAAGGACTTAAATGTATTGTCTATGTATGTTTCTACTGTATTGCTGTTTTGCTGTAGGCTACAAAATGTAATAATTACACTCAAGATGTAGCTAGCTACATGCTCCGCCTTTTTTACACACAGTATGTTGTTTTCATTTTACAATAACTTTTCTCCAGATATATGTATTGTTGATTAACACACAGTACCAGTCAAGTTTGGACACACCTGCTCATTCCAGGGTTTTTCTTTATTTTTACTATTTTCTACATTGTAGAATAATAGTGAAGACATCAAAACTATGAAATAACACATGGAATCATGTAGTAACCAAGTGTTAAACAAATCAAAATATATTTTATATTTGAGACTCTTCAAAGTAGCCACCCTTTGCCTTAATGACAGCTTTGCACACTCTTGGCATTCTCTCAACCAGCTTCACATATAATGCTTTTCCAACAGTCTTGAAGGAGTTCCCACATACAGTGAGGGAAAAAAGTATTTGATCCCCTGCTGATTTTGTACGTTTGCCCACTGACAAAGAAATGATCAGTCTATAATTTTAATGGTAGGTTTATTTGAACAGTGAGAGACAGAATAACAACAAAAAAATGCAGAAAACGCATGTTAAAAATGTTATAAATTGATTTGCATTTTAATGAGGGAAATAAGTATTTGACCCCCTCTCAATCAGAAAGATTTCTGGCTCCCAGGTGTCTTTTATACAGGTAACGAGCTGAGATTAGGAGCACACTCTTAAAGGGAGTACTCCTAATCTCAGCTTGTTACCTGTATAAAAGACACCTGTCCACAGAAGCAATCAATCAATCAGATTCCAAACTCTCCACCATGGCCAAGACCAAAGAGCTCTCCAAGGATGTCAGGGACAAGATTGTAGACCTACACAAGGCTGGAATGGGCTACAAGACCATCGGCAAGCAGCTTGGTGAGAAGGTGACAACAGTTGGTGCGATTATTCGCAAATGGAAGAAACACAAAAGAACTGTCAATCTCCCTCGGCCTGGGGCTCCATGCAAGATCTCACTTCGTGGAGTTGCAATGATCATGAGAACGGTGAGGAATCAGCCCAGAACTACACGGGAGGATCTTGTCAATGATCTCAAGGCAGCTGGGACCATAGTCACCAAGAAAACAATTGGTAACACACTACGCCGTGAAGAACTGAAATCCTGCAGCGCCCGCAAGGTCCCCCTGCTCAAGAAAGCACATATACAGGCCCGTCTGAAGTTTGCCAATGAACATCTGAATGATTCAGAGGAGAACTGGGTGAAAGTGTTGTGGTCAGATGAGACCAAAATCGAGCTCTTTGGCATCAACTCAACTCGCCGTGTTTGGAGAAGGAGGAATGCTGCCTATGACCCCAAGAACACCATCCCCACCGTCAAACATGGAGGTGGAAACATTATGCTTTGGGGGTGTTTTTCTGCTAAGGGGACAGGACAACTTCACCGCATCAAAGGGACGATGGACAGCGCCATGTACCGTCAAATCTTGGGTGAGAACCTCCTTCCCTCAGCCAGGGCATTGAAAATGGGTCATGGATGGGTATTCCAGCATGACAATGACCCAAAACACATGGCCAAGGCAACAAAGGAGTGGCTCAAGAATAAGCACATTAAGGTCCTGGAGTGGCCTAGCCAGTCTCCAGACCTTAATCCCATAGAAAATCTGTGGAGGGAGCTGAGGGTTCGAGTTGCCAAACGTCAGCCTCGAAACCTTAATGACTTGGAGAAGATCTGCAAAGAGGAGTGGGACAAAATCCCTCCTGAGATGTGTGCAAATCTGGTGGCCAACTACAAGAAACGTCTGACCTCTGTGATTGCCAACAAGGGTTTTGCCACCAAGTACTAAGTCATGTTTTGCAAAGGGGTCAAATACATATTTCCCTCATTAAAATGCAAATAAATTTATAACATTTTTTACATGCGTTTTTCTGGATTTTGTTGTTGTTATTCTGTCTCTCACTGTTCAAATAAATCTACCATTACAATTATAGACTGATCATGTCTTTGTCAGTGGGCAAACTGTCTTGTCTTGAAGTAATGATGGACTGTCGTTTTTCTTTGCTTATTTGAGCTGTTCTTGCCATAATATGGACTTGGTATTTTACCTATTTTGTTGCCTTACAACCTGGAATTAAAATGACTCCTGCTGAAAAGAGAAGACTCTATGCCGTAGCCTACCAAAATATTTTATAAACTTCCAAATCTTTTTTACAAAAGAGAGAGGGAGATAGGCTTTTGGCACGAGCGCATCGACAATCACCAGTGAGTGAGCTGCGCATCATTGGGTGAGTCAGTGAAATTGGAAAGCATTTTTAGGACTTTAATTTCCTCGTCATATTGTAGCCTACAATATGTGTCTCCACACACCTAGGCCTAAGCTATTGATGGATTCAAGACAAGGTCGTTTTTATTGATCTCAGATTCTCAGTGTAAAAGTAGCCTGCCATTTCGATCATTTTGTGCAGTATTAAAAAATATTCTGCCAAAGTCTCCAGTCATGTACAATGACGTAGAATTGCATGAAATGCGTTTTTTTAAAGGCCAATATTTTCCCGGAACCTAGGATACTAAAAATGTTTCCAATGTGTGCAACTTCTGTAAGTGCCTCTACTCTACTGCTCTATGCCACTACGCAAATGCGATGATATGCATGCAATGCTTTATTACAAAGGTTATTTTTTTCTCTAGCGTTCTGGTACCTCAGAACTCCCCAGGTCACCCCCCTCTAGCGCTCACCTTTTTTTCCGGCACCTCCCGATATATATGAGCCCAAGCCCGAAAGAAACCCTGAATTAAAATAATGATTGTGCCGTTATACAATACATAGCCTACCGCATATTACACATGGCAGAAAAATATTTTTTTTAAATACTGATTTAAGATATCTTTGGTACGTAATTGGTCTAGCTTAAATTAAACAAACTCATATTTAGCCTACAATTACAGTGAATTTGTTTTACATTTTGAATAGCCTAGTAATAGGGAGTTGTTTTAATTTTCATAATTAATAGACTGACACATTGCCTTTAGCTACAGAATATCTCACCACCATGAGTTTCCATCTCTTCCCCTCTCTCCTTCATTCCTTTCTCCAGCGCGCAGAGAGAAGGGCTGTCAACAGTTTAATTAAATATGTTTTGTTGTGAAAACGTGTTACTATCGATGTTCACGAACCGATTTCACTTGGTTTCCCAAATTAAGCACTGGGTATCTGCTGGAAAAAGGTTGGAGACTCCATGGCATACAGAGTTTGGTCAGAATATCACCTGTGGCGCAGCGAAATTACCGGAGTAGCCTACCCAACATGAGTGAAGAACGTACCCGTGGGAAAGTAGTCTCCATTTGCTATTTCAGTGCATATGGATGACATGTCTTTTTTTGTCTTGCCCCTGTTCTTCCCCATTTGATATAAGGGGCCATTCTAAATCGAAACTAATTGTACATATTAGTAAAGATTCAATTGAGAATAGTCTGATGGGTAAAAATATGAACACTTAATGAGAGAACAGCATGTGCAGCCTGAGGCAAGTAACAGAGCACAAGCTTCTTTTTTTTCCCGACTTTCTCAAATCATCAATAGCCTATAGTCGCATCATGCAGCCCATATACACTATATATACAAAAGTATTTGGACACCCCTTCAAATTAGTGGATTCTGCTATTTCAGCCACACCCGTTGCTGATAGTTGTATAAAATCAAACACACATCCATACAATCTCCATAGACAAACATTGGCAGTAGAATGGCCTTAATGAAGAGCTCAGTGACTTTCAACATGGCACTGTCATAGGATGCCACCAGTTCGTCAAATTTCTGTCCTGCTAGAGCTGCCCCGGAGCAACAACGGCTCAGCCGCAAAGTGGTAGGCCACACAAGCTCACAGAACAGGACCGCCGAGTGCTGAAGCGCGTACGGCGTAAAAATCGTCTGTCCTCGGTTGCAACACTCACTACCGAGTTCCAAACTGCCTTTGGAAGCAATGTCAGCACAAGAACTGTTCATTGGGAGTTTCATGAAATGGATTTCCATGGCCGAGCAGCCGCACACAAGCCTAAGATCACCAAGCGCAATGCCAAGTGTCAGCTGGAGTGGTGTAAAGCTTGCTGCCATTGTACTCTGGAGCAGTGGAAACGCGTTCTCTGGCGTGATGAATCACGCTTCACCATCTGCCAGTCTGACGGACAAATCTGGGTTGGCGGATGCCAATAGAACTATACCTTCCCCAATACATAGTGCCAACTGTAAAGTTTGGTGAAGGAGGAATAATGGTCGGGGCTGTTTTTCATGGTTCAGGCTCCTTAATTCTAGTGAAGGGAAATCTTAATGCTACAGCATATAATGACATTCTAGACGATTCTTTGCTTCCAACTTTGTAGCAACAGTTTGGGGAAGGCCCTTTCCTGTTTCAGCATGACAATGCCCCCGTGCACAAAGCAAGGTGCATACAGAAATGGTTTGTTGAGATCGGTGTGGAAGAACTTGACTGGCCTGCACAGAGCCCTGACCTCAACCCCATCAAACACC